AAACAACTGCACCTCCCAGTCGCGAACCATTTCAACTCCCCCTCCCATTCCTCAGACGACATGTCCATCCTGGGCCTCCTGCAGTGCCACAACGATGCCACCCGAAGGTTGCAGGAACAGCAACTCATATTCCGCTTGGGAACCCTGCAGCCCAATGGTATCAATGTGGATTTCACAAGTTTCAAAATCTCCCCTCCCCCCACCGCATCCCAAAACCAGTCCAGCTCGTCCCTGCCTCCCTAACCTGTTCTTCCTCCCACCTATCCCCTCCTCCCACCTCAAGCCGCACCTCCATCTCCTACCGACCAACCTCATCCCGCCCCCTTGACCTGTCCGTCCTCCCTGGACTGACCTATCCCCTTCCTAACTCCCTACCTACACTCACCTTTACTGGCTCCATCCCCGCCTCTTCGACCTGTTTGTTTCCTCTCCAACTATCCTCTCCTCTATCCCTCTTCTATCCGCCTCCCACTCTCTCCCTATTTATTTCAAAACCCCCTTCCCCTCCCCCTTTTCTGATGAAGGGTCTCGGCCTGAAACGTCAGCCTCTCTGCTCCTATGATGCTGCTTGGCCTGCTGTGTTCATCCAGCCCTGCACCTTGTTGTCTCGGATTCTCCAGCATCTGCAGTTCCTACTATCTCTGCTAAAATGTGATGTCAGGCACACAGAGGCTGGCAACCTACAAGTCAGTGCTGATGTCACTGAGTGTGCACTAAGAAAACAACATGAAGTAGCCAGAGACTGGCAGCCTCCAAGTGAACGCAAAGTGAGTGAGCGTTAAGAAAAACGAAGATCCGTAAGATGCATCCTGTGGGGATGAATTAGTTGTGTGCATTTCCCTGTGTGTAAGACAACCTGGCAGAAGGACACAAGACCTGGGTGTCCCTGAGCTCTAAAATATTGAAGGCTGAAGTGCTGTGTGAGTTGGTCTGAAACAATGATGTGGTAAGGCTGGTGATTTGCCAATGCCAGCTTGTGTGGGTGAAAGATGGTGGCCATGGAGCACACTGGCACTGTGTGAAGAAACAGTTGGTTGATGGCCAGCACATACAATTAGTGAGCTGCAGGCACCAGGTACTTACTGATCAGGAGCAAAAACAAAGTTGCTGGAAAAGCTCAGCAGATCAGGCAGCATCTATGAAGGAAAAAAACAGAGTTAACGTTTTGGGTCCGGTGACCCTTCCTCAGAACCGGACCCGAAACGTTAACTCTGTTTTTTCTTTCACAGATGCTGCCAGACCTGTTGAGCTTTTCCAGCAACTTTGTTTTTGTTCCTGCTTTACGGCATCCACAGTTCTTTCGGTTTTTACTTACTGATCAGGAATTTGCACTGCCTACTATCTCAGGGAAAGGAGAATTAGAAGTGGCATAAAATAAGACAAATTTATGTATTAACAACAAATAAGTTTTCTATCCATTTCATGTACACTGCCCCACTCCCACACATTTTAACCTTATATGCTAATCTCCTATGTGAGACCCTGTTGAAAGCTTTCTGAAAGTCCAAGTAAAACATATCCACTGGTCCCACCTTATCAACTTTAAATCCTCAAAAAATTCCAGTAGATTTCTCAAGCATGATTTCCGTTTCCTAAATCCATGTTGACGCTGCCCAATTCTGTCACTGTTTTCTAAGCGCTCTGATATTAAATCTTTTATAACAGGCTCTATAATGGACGACCAATGTCAGGCTAACTAGTCTATAATTCCCTGTTTTCTCTCTCCGTCCTTTGTTTTTAAATAGTGGGGTTACATTAGCTACCCTCCAAACCATAAGAACTGCTCCAAACAGTATAGAATCTTGAAACATGACCACAAATGTATCCACTATTTCTAGGGTCACTTCCTTAAAGGATGTGGATTATCAGGCTCTGGGGATTAATTGGCCTTTAAGCCAAACAATTTCTCCAAAAGTAATAATAATACACTTTTTCCTTCATACTTCTTACCTGTCAGTTAATGGTGTGATCACAAGTCGATCTGTGCAACCTAGGTATTCATTACAATAGTTGAACTCAACATCTGTGATCTGAATAATACATTTGTCTGCATCCTCTATAAAGTAAAACCGAGATTGTTTTTGCCATTCAAAATCCAATGGAGATTTAATGCTCATACGAACCTAATATAAAATTAGAATTAAATATTAGAATCATGTACATCTTCCAACAAGCTTTTGTGAACACTTGTTTTGGAGATGGTATTACATACCAAATCATCAAAAATATCTTTCTGGTGGACATGAATGGTGATAAGTGTTTCATATTTTGTTCGTTCCATTTTTGTTAGTTCACGGGTTGTCATATCAATCAAGTCATTAAGCATATCCAGGAATGTCTGATTAGTTGTTTGCATAATCTGCATGAAACAAATACTGCACATTACATGGTTTCTAGCTGTACACATTTTGTTGATTCAATCTTACATCTTAACAGAAAATCAAATCATATAATCGCACCCTCTGTGTAACAATCTAAACCTTTTGTCTGATGAGTATTTGAAAGCAACAAAATATACGAAGAATATGAAAGGACAATATTTCTAGAATCCCTACAGTGTGGAAACAGGCCATTTGGTCCATCAAGTCCACACCACCCCTCTGAAGAGCATCTCATCCCCACAACCCTGCATTTCCCATGGCCAATCCACTAAACCTGCACATTTTTGAACTATGGGAAAAACCAGACCAAACCCACACAGACACATGTGAGGCAGCAATGCTAACCACTAAGCTGCTGTGCCACCCACACATCAGCTTGGCATATCTTCGATCCACTTACAGGGTGGGTCAATACTTCAATGCTGTACATTGGAGTGCATCAGCTCCTATCTTTGCTGCTGCAAGGTCACATTGCACACAGGATGGGCACCCAGCCCATGGATTCTACCAGGATGCATCTCAAAACTGTTCAGTTGCTCTCCTAGTGTTCACTCACTTCATGACTACATCAATACTCACAACATCTTTGCCTTGCCTATTCTTCCATCCACTTGCAGAATACAGGTTGAAGTCATTTGCAATCATAGTATGGTGTTAACTTTAAATTGATAAGTCAGAAACCTTTTTTAAACTAACTACTTGTATCTCTTGCAAACCATCTGAAGATGATTGAAGAGGAGTGTTCTGACTAACATAAGAATCATAAGGATCATCTGAGCAACCCATGAACAGAATTACCCACCCCGTTTTCCTCTGCCCTTAACCTATTTTTCTCTGTCTGCTTGTTTGCCTGTGCATGTGTCAGGGAGGACTCTATGTGGGGATTAGAGTTTTAATTAGTAGTGTTATATGCTGACAGTTTGTAATTGTTCACATAGCTAGAACGTAATTACTTGTAATAAGTAATAATTGTTATTAAGTACAGAAGCCTAGTCTATACAATGTAAAGGCTTCCCACAGATCTCCTTGTCAGAGTGATCCATGTGCCACTGTATGGGGGATTATGTTAAGCCGTCATTTGTGAGTGATGTGAATGCTGACTGCTCCTAATGACCTGTTCTGTTTGTTATGGTCCTCACAAATGTTCATTGTAAGCATGACTGAGGGATCCCGCCATAACGAGGGTTATTATGACAATACAAAGGTCAGAGAAATGGAAAAGGAACAAATGCTACAGCAAGCCAAGGGCCAGCAGGAACTCTAGATGCTGAGCGGTCCGCACATGAAGAGGTCACAGCTGAAGGTCCCCTTTCGTTGTGCAGGAGGCATAGGAGGGCCAGAATCTTTCCTCCTTGATGCTATTTTCTCCAGATGAGCAAGGCACAAGCTGAGGATGTCCTGGGACACAGTCACAGAAGTATGTTGACTGTCTGCACACGACCTGTGACATGAAGGGCAAAGTGGCCATCCTAGCACAATGGCTGTCAAGGTGATAGATACATTGGATTTTTATGCAACTGGATCCTTCCAAGGTGCCATTGGGGATGTATGTGGAATCTCACTTGTCTACCCACAAGTATATCAAGGCTGTTACCAATCCTATTTATGCCAGATCATACCACTTTATCTCATTTCCCTGTGACGAGGTCAGTGATGAGATCAGGCAGAAGGCTTCCACAAGAGAGTTTGCTTCCCCCAGGTGCGGGGTGAAATAGACTGTATACATCCCGCTTTCAAAACATCACTTCCTAATGTAGCAGAGTTCATCAATATAAAAGGGTTCCATTCCTACAATTGCAAATGATCTGTGAACATCGATACTACAGTTTAGAATTCTGCGCTAGATTCTCTAACAGCTTCAGTGATGCCTATATACCTGATAAATGCCAAGTTGCTGCTGTATTTGACAAGAATAGATACTAGGGATGAGGACCACCCTCTCTGACCAGGGCTGATGACTCTTACCAAACTGAGGCAGAGCAATGCAGCCCACTCTTTGACTAGGGCCATAGTGGAACAGATGATAAGTCTGCTGAAAGTGAGGTTCCGCTGCTTGGATCAGTTTGAGTGTGCCTTACAATACAGTCCAGACAGAGTGTGCTGCATAACCCCTGCATGCAGTGCTCTGAACAATTGGAGCAAGTAACAACGGAATGTGAAGGAAGCTGAAGAGCTGACAGCAGCATCAATCTTCAGACAAGGAAGATGAATATATTGAGCAGGAGAAACATTACCTTCTGCATGTTAGAGTGCAGCTACATCAACTGCAACAAGCCAGACAGGCCTTATTTGACAACTGGTTCCAGGAGATGAGAGCTGGGTGCCGTGATCATTCACTGACAGTAAAATTCCTGGATACTCAAAAGGCACCAGTATTGGTGGTGAAGGGAGTGAAAGTCTGAAATTTTCCATCAATATATAATATTCATAAATTTGAAAGAGGCAAAGTGATAATGTACCTCTTTAGAAATAAACATAAAGCTTATTTTACAAACAACAGTAAAATACTTTAAATAAATAGGTTAATTTTTTGAGTTAGATTTTGGGCTTGCGTGAAAATCTCAAATAGGAACCAATTTCCTTAAATATATGTGAAGGTTTAACAAATTAACAAGTGTTTCATTTTTGTGGTATATAAAAAGCTTTAGAACTGAGTTAATTTAGGCGGAAATAAAAAACCGAAAGAACTGCAGATGCTGTAAACCAGAAACGAAAACAGAAATTGCTGTGAAATCTCAGCAGGTCTGGCAGCATCTGTGGGGAAGAAGGGAAAACCCAAAACGTTAACTCTGATTTCCATCCATGTTGCTGGACCTGTTGAGATTTTCCAGCAATTTCTGTTTTTCGTTTCTGATTTTCAGCATCTTTCAGCTGAAGAATAATCAGATTCATTTCCTCCTACAAAAACAGAAATTGCTGTAAAATCTCAGCAGATCTGGCAGCATCTGTGGGGAAGAAGGGAAGACCCAAAACATTAACTCTGATTTCCCTCCATGTTGCTGGACCTGTTGAGATTTTCCAGCAATTTCTGTTTTTGTAGGAGGAAATGAATCTGATTATTCTTCACCTGAATGAACACCAGCATATGCTATAATAATGCTGTGACCTGCACACAATGGGAATAGATTTTCCTATATTGCTCGAGCTTAGTGGGTGGACAAATGAGTAAAAGCGACTATAGCAGGAGTCTACTGTAACAGCCTGCGACTGCTCAAGTGAAATAAAAATCATTAAGAAGGGAGGCCAGAAATACAGGCACAGCAACTGAAGTAAACAGGGCATCAAAACTGGCCAAAAAGCAAAGTATGCTGGGAATGCCTGAGCCAAGACAGACACACAAGGGTCAATTCTGCCCAGGGACAAGTCCTTGTAAGATCCAAGACCAGACAATTGAAACCAGAGAAGTGTCAGAACATATCAAGAAGTGTGAAAGGGCAATTCAACCCTTCCTGGCAAACAAGCAACACTAGGTGCATGGGGCAGACATGCCTCGGTAAGACACAAGACCAGGTGTATATTCTGGGATGAAACCAGACTTCCAGGCTCAAGATCAGACACATAAAAGGGGTTGTTTTTAAGCAAGCCATCGAGAGCTATTAGCAGCATTTCAAGGTGATAAAGCCAATTAATTTTAAAAATTGGTCAAGTCCTTGGGAAGTTCTAGAACGTAGCCAGGAGGGGATAAGAACACAGCCCGGCAGGACTCAGGGAACCCCACTCTCCAGCCAACCTAGATGTACATTGGGATACAGCAGAGACCAGAGCAGCTCGCCCTCCGACCAACGAGAGCATCAACCTGTGAAGAGAGGAACTGACTGAATAATTCAACAGACCAGCAAAAGCTTTGTGTATCTGGGAAGTATTTTAAGTTTCTAAAGAATCAGGTAGTTAGAAATAGAGTTGTTAAACGTGTAAAGTTTAAGTCTTAACCTTTGTTGTCTTCAAATAAAGTTGCACCTGCTTCACTGACCATAGATTTGTGCTGTGTAGTCTTTTCCCGATACAAGCCAAGGTGCCTTGGTAAATTAATACTGTTTACACTGGCTGAGGATTCTGTGGGGTCTCAGAGACACCATGTTCCACACAACTCTACCTAACTTTCTATCTTTGTAAATCATTGATGAGAAAACTAATGGTGAGAATCCATCATTGGGATGCAACCAAATGCCCATTTTTTTTAATGTCAGGTAGTTGATACTCTCACAAGTAGATAGATGCAGGGCTATTATAGAAGCAAATATTAAGCTGTTCCCAGATACACAAAGCTTTTGCTGGTCTGTTGAATTATTCAGTCAGTTCCTCTCTTCACAGGTTGATGCTCTCGTTGGTCGGAGGGCGAGCTGCTCTGGTCTCTGCTGTATCCCAATGTACATCTAGGTTGGCTGGAGAGTGGGGTTCCCTGAGTCCTGCCGGGCTGTGTTCTTATCCCCTCCTGGCTACGTTCTAGAACTTCCCAAGGACTTGACCAATTTTTAAAATTAATTGGCTTTATCACCCTGAACTAGAAAACTACCATCTTTCTTTTTTAGTGTCAGAATGAAAGGTGATTTTATACCAGATTTTCAAGGAGGATGATTGCCTCATAAACATTTTCTGAAGCAAATATTAAGCTGTTGTGGAAGCAATGAACACTGGTCATGTGAATTAGTAATCCATTTGTCGTCATTCCCCTTCGCACACCACTTGAAACACATATAACAGAGTTTGCAGATTGCATATTTGACTTAATCTGCCATCTCAGAACTGACCACCAATACAAAAGCAAATAATCATCAATTCCATGGACCTGGTTAAGAAGGAAGATGAAAAATAGAATCTTTCAGTTCTAGTTTGATGTCGTTTACCTTGATGATATTGGAAAGGAGCTGATCTGAACGTTTCTGGATATGGATTAAGTGATATGGTGTAAAAAGATGGGCTAACAATCTCATGTTTTGAATATCTTGTATCAACAGTCACTCATATTTATTCACATTTCATTGTTTTTCAAATCTTCAATAAGGATGGAGTATCTTACAATAGTGGGGAGAGAGAATTACATGCAGCACATTATTTATAATCTCAAAACTTGTGAATCAATAGTCATTACCTTTTTATCAACTTTGGCATTATTTAAAGCTTCTTCAGAGTCTCTTGTCCAAATCATCTGAATACCCAGCAAACCTATCTGTGCAGGAAACATGGCCTGAAATTCATATAGTTTAATCTCCTTATCAGTGATAGATATTGATGCCTGGCGAATAATGCTGTGAATTGTCTTTCTGACCCCACTCAGGAGCTGTGCCAGCCAAACTTCCACGTTACCCTAAAACATGAGATGATTAAAAGAAATTGAGTTACCATGGCAATAGTTAAATGAAAGTACAGGGTTTTAGAAAATATTTCACAATAGAAATCTGTCTAAACAATAACTGTTATAAAATCCCTACAGTGCAGAAAGAGGCCATTTGGCTCATCGAGTCTGTGCTGACCCACTGAACAGCATCCAACTCTATCCCCATGGCTCCTGCATTTATCATGGTTAATCCACTTAGCCTGCACAACGTGGGCAATTTAGCATGGTTAATTCACCGAGCCTGCTCATCTTTGAATTGCGGGAGGAAACTGGAGTACCTGGCGGAAACCCACGTAGACACAGGGAGGATGTGCAAACTCCACACAGTCACCCAAGGCTGGAATCAAACCTGGATCCCTGGCGCTGTAAGGCAGCAGTCCGCTGCGCCACAGTGCTGCCCATAAACATAATATTCGAAAACATGCGCAATTACATTATGAGAAACATGAACAAGTACATTTTCTCTGGCCAGCAGATCGATAGAAGGGATAATTTGAGATAAATATGCATAAATGAGCAGAAACAGCAGATGGCCAGTGCTACCTACCAGAATGGGAAAGAAGAAGAGATAAAGTGAAGCAGAGTAAGCCAATATTGTTATATGTGGCACAAATGTCATCGGCTTCACCTTCCTCACAAAATCAAACCTCTCAGCTATAGCAATGGCAACCTAATTGTATAAGGAACTACATTGAAAGCCCCCCTTTCATATAACTGTTTTCAAAATGCAGCCAGGAGCGTGATTGACTCCCACTGGGCTCCTGATAGCTACGCTCAAACGTTTCCCAGACTCCGTGTTCCTTGTGCTTGTCATTTGAAAATTGCTAACCGCAGCTTGTCCTGTTCCTAATAAGTTCTACAATGAGCTCAGCGGTTAATTAATTGAGGTGTGTGGGTTGCCAGTTCCATTCCTCCACCAAATCCTGTCATCTCTTTGAAAACCTAATCATATCACTATGATGTGGGGAACCAGTGACATCTTCTAAGTACTTGATTATATGGGACCAATCCCACAGGTAATTGACAATTCAGACCTGCATTAAGAAGATGTGTCATGCAAAATGGTCATTATAACATTAGTAGTTGGATATATACAATAAATATGCTGACTTTTTAAAAAAAATTTTGCAAAGCTGAACATTTGCAAAATAGCAGCAATGTTACAATTGCAAAAAATACAAGTTTCCACACAATATTTGCAACATTTTCAGAAACAAGTCACAGTTGTAGGTAGCAAAAGTATTTGGTTTTGAATAGTCACTGGGAAAACAACCTTTTCCCCTTTTCTCTTTTTCTGAAACCTTTTTATCAAAATGCATGAATCGAAAATGCACCAGAAGACTTCATCATTGCAAATGTGAACTCACACCAGTATTTCCAGCAAAACAGAGTTCAACCAGTCATAACTGATCAATGAAGAACAAGAGGAGAGTGACTTTGGCTGCAGACCAGCATCTGGGACAATCAACGATCAAGTAATCTTTTCCTAATGTAACTGTTACTTGGCCAAAATAATATTCTGCAGACTTTTATGTGTTTTTTTTCAGGCTTGAGAAGAGAATGTGTTTTTGTGTGTATGCATATGTATGTATGTGTGTGTATATATGTGATAAAATCAGAATTTTTCTACTTCATTTATGGATGTAGCCATCACTGGTTATACCTGCATTTATTGTCCGTTTTTAATTGTCCTGGAGAAGGTAGTAGTGAGCTGCCTTCTTGAGCTGTTGTAGTCCTGGAGTGTAGAGATTCCCAAGCTGTTTTTAAGAAGGGACTTCCAGGATTTAGAAGCAGTGGCAGTACAGGAATGATGATGTTATTCCCGTTCAGGGAGGTTTGTGAGTTGGAGGGGAGCTTGCAAGTGATGAGTGTCCTCTGCATCTGCTGTCCATGTCTTTCAAGGTAGTAGTCATCAGTCTGGAAGGTGCTGTTAGTCGAGTTACAGTCAGTTATTGCTGTGCATCTTCTAGATGGTAAACATGGCTGTCACTGTGCACAGTGGTGTAGTAAGTGAATAAATGTTGAAGATGGTCAATGGCCAATCAAGCAGGATGTATTTTCCTGGATGGTCTCAAGCTTCTTGAGTGTTGTTCAAGCTGCACTTACCCAAGCAAGTGGGGTGTATTCCATCACACTCCTGACCTGTGCCTTGTAGATGGTGGACAGGCTTTAGGGAGACAGGAGGTGAGTCAATTTGCTGCGGCTAGTGGAAGAGTGGGACAAGGGAATAAGTCCACTCCTAACAGTTGGGTCATTACACCTGGAAGCAGTATGGAGAAATTAAACATAGAATTATTCACAAAGGACTGGCGACTGCAATGGGCACCATTTCAAGACCTCTAGGAATGGATGGCTGTGAAGGGGTGTCCTATAATCCATTTGGAAATGTCTCATATTTTCTCACCTGTGCCATAACTGGTTCGATGAGGTCAACTTTTTCTCCCTCCTGAGACGCGAAGCGGAGAATCTGATCATAATTTGTTTCGTTGAACCCCACTCTGTTAACATTGTCAAAAAGACTTAGCAGGTGAGCCTGAAACAGTGGAAGTATTATCTGTTAATATGCTGGCATGGTCCCTAAAAATCATGTATTCATCCCCACTCTGTCTAAAGGCAGGTTCTTGGCTTGTTGCATTCTGATGCTTCATTCTGAGCTGTTTCATTCAGTAGCGATTTGTAATTAACTTCTATTCCCAGGAGTAAGTCAAGGAGGCAGCTCCCAAACCTGCAACAGCTGATTCAGGGATGGAACCTCTGCTGGTGGATTTATTCAAAATCACACACTTGTCATTTAGCCAACTGAGCCAACCAGCTGATATGGTTGCATTTGCTATTTACTCATGGGATGTGGACATGTCTGACAAAGTGAGAATTTATTGCCCATCTTTAATTGACCGTGAGAAAGTAGTGGCAAGCAGTATTCTTGAACCGTTGCGGTCCATGGAATGCAGCTATACCCACCATGCTACTGGGAAGAGAATTCCAAGACTTTAACCCAATGGCAGTGAAGAAGCATGTTTAATGCTTGTTCAAACATTATTTTACAATACATTTTTTAGTACATTTTTAGATTATTCAGCATTTCCATTTTTGATTGCACTAGTTCCCCTCCACTTTTGCAATTTTTTATATTTTGACCTATTTGTTTGTGGGTGTTAGTACATTCAAACAGACATTGGACCAAAGCTCCACCCACATTCTGCAGATCTCCAATCAGAACTGGAAAACCAACAGAATACTGCAGAATATAACAGCAGTCTGGTTGCACTGTCTCCTGGCATTTTTTGGAAGTTTCCTTTTGGAATGTTGGAAGTTAACTTTTGGAAGTTAATGAGACAAACTTCAGTTGACCCTTAAAAGCCAAATTGACAGTTGAAGGCAAAGACAGGCACAGGAATTCTATCCCAATAATTTAATGCCTGAGACATACTGAGCAATAACACAAAGTGTCAGTGGAACCCAGGAGTAGAAATTTAGTGGAAAGAAATTGATTTCTACAGGAGTGCATGCATGTGTCCCACAGCCCATACCCAACCTCACTCGAATGGCGGTCATGACATCTGAAAGGGCAAAAATCTTACAGCATATGATTTGCTAAATCAACACATGTAAAGCACATCAGATATTTCCTTGCCCATAACGAGTGGATAAATTTTCATCATACTCTAATTGTCCTTGTGGGAAACAATGTGCAAAAACAAAATACTGTCGTGGGAGCAGTGATGTTGCAACTACATATCCTACATGTAATCTGTAGAGAAACAAGAATATCTCAGAGAGCAGGTTGAAATCACTCTACCTGTATAGTGTGAGAGTCAGAGGCTTGGCCAAGTATTTCCAGCAGAGCAGGGTCAGAAACAAAGAAAAATCTGGGGAATAAAAGGCGTTTCTTTTCCAAATATCCAGTGAGCGATTTCTGACACATCTCTAGCTGCTCCAGTAAATATGGTAAAAGCTGAGCTAAAGTCTCATCACCTACACAGCACTGCACAATGTTTGTATTGTCATGAGCTCTCTGCATGATCTTCTGCCATGACTTGTCAATGTTCTGAAATCTTTTGGCCTCCTGAAGTAAAACAAATGGGTTAGTTCAGCCAAAAGAACTACAAGCACATCACATATAGTAAAACTTCATTTCTGAATGTTTTATTTTAAGTCCAATTCCCTAATAACAGCTATTAGTAAGCATTCATGATACAGAATTATTACGATGTATGTGTGGTTGTCACATGGTAGGATTATTTTAAATCTGGTCTCCAATATTAATATGTCCAATAGTTTGAGCATGAATAGAAGTTGTTAACTGAATTGTTTATTCAGATAATGTTATATGACCAGTCTCCTCAGAACAGAGGTCCTTACACCTTCCATCCGTGAAAGCTACCAACTCATCTCAAACGTACCACTCCTTTTCAAAGTCCTTGAACAGCACCTTCCAAATCCAGGCCCATCTTTCCTATAGGTCCTTGTTTGAACCCATTTGGTCAATTTCCATCGTTTAGCCACAATACTAAAACACCTTTTAGGGAGCTAAAAATGTTATGTGACTGTGACAGAGGTAAACTACCCTTCTTGCCGTCGCAACCTAACTACACCTTTGATAGAACAAGGTGTAGAGCTGGATGAACACAGCAGGCCAAGCAGCATCAGAGGAGCAGGAAGGCTGACGTTTCAGGCCTAGACCCTTCTTCAGAAATGGGGGAGGGGAAGGGGGTTCGGAAATAAATAGGGAGAGAAGGGGAGGCGGATAGAAGATCGATAGAGGAGAAGATAGGTGGAGAGGAGACAGACAGGTCAAAGAGGCGAGAATGGAGCCAGTAAAGGTGAGTGTAGGTGGGGAGGTAGGGAGGAGATAGGTCAGTCCAGGGAGGACAGACAGGTCAAGGGGGCGGGATGAGGTTAGTAGGTAGGAGATGGGGGTGGGGCTTGAGGTGGGAGGAGGGTATAGGTGGGAGGAAGGACAGGTTACGGAGGCAGGGAGAGAGTGGTCCCTCCGGAAAGCAGATAAGGGTGGGGAGGGATAAATGCCTCATCCTGGGAGCATTCCACTCCCGTACATCTCAGATGTCCTCGTTTTTCAAGGACCGCAACGTCCCCCCTCAGTGGTCGAGAACGCCCTCGACCGTGTCTCCCGCATTTCCCGCAACTCATCCCTCACACCCCGTCCACGCAATAACAGCCAAAACAGAATCCCCCTCGTCCTCACATACCACCCCACCAACCTCCGGATCCAACGCATCATCCTCTGACACTTCTGCCAACCCCACCACCAAAGACATTTTTCCCTCCCCACCCTTATCTGCTTTCCGGAGGGACCACTCTCTCCGTGACTCCCTTGTCCACTCCACACTCCCCTCCAGCCCCACCACACCTGGCACTTTTCCCTGCAACCGCAGGAAGTGCTACACCTGTCCCTACACCCATCCCTACACCCATCCCAGGCCCAAAGAAGACTTTCCACATCAAACAGATGTTCACCTGCACATCTGCTAATGTGGTATACTGCATCCGCTGTTCCCATTGTGGCCTCCTCTACATCGGGGAAACCAAGCGGAGGCTCGGGGACCGCTTTGCAGAACACCTACGCTCGGTTCGCACTAAACAACTGTACCTCCCAGTCGCGAACCATTTCAACTCACCCTCCCATTCCTCAGACAACATGTCCATCCTGGGCCTCCTGCAGTGCCACAATGCTGCTCCCCGAAGGTTGCAGGAACAGCAACTCGTATTCCGCTTGGGAACCCTGCAGCCCAATGGTATCAATGTGGACTTCACAAGCTTCAAAATCTCCCCCTACCGCATCCCAAAACCAGCCCAGTTCATCCCCACCTCCCTAACCTGTCCTTCCTCCCACCTATCCCCTCCTCCCACCTCAAGCCGCACCCCCATCTCCTACCTACTAACCTCATCCCACCCCCTTGACCTGTCTGTCCTCCCTGGACTGACCTATCTCCTCCCTACCTCCCAACCTACACTCACCTTTACTGGCTCCATCCCCGCCTCTTTGACCTGTCTGTCTCCTCTCCACCTATCTTCTCCTCCATCCATCTTCTATCCACCTCCCCCTCTCTCCCTATTTATTTCAGAACCCCCTTTCCCTCCCCCATTTCTGAAGAAGCATCTAGGCCCGAAACGTCAGCCTTCCTGCTCCTCTGATACTGCTTGGCCTGCTGTGTTCATCCAGCTTTACACCTTGTTATCTCAGATTCTCCAGCATCTGCAGTTCCTACTATCTCTGCACCTTTGATAGCGTTGATCAGTCCATCTTTTTCCAACACCTTTTCACTGAAGTGCAGTGGTGGGACTGCAGCTAATTGGTTTCATTCTTATTTATCTCATTGTGGGCAGGATATCACTTGCAATGCTTTCTCTTCCCCTTATTGTCCAGTTATCTCTGGTGTCCTCCAAGGATATATGTTTGTCACCCTTCTATTCCTAAACTATGTGCAGCTGTGTATCATCCCAAAACACAGCATCACATGAACACCTTTCTTATAATGTTCATGTTTCGACATCCAGAATTGCATCAGCAGAAATTTCTTCCAGTTCATTATTGGAAAGACTGAAGCCATTGCCTTTATTCTCCTCTACAGAATCCATCCCTAACAACAAATTCCATCCATCTCTCTAGGAACTTTCAGAAACTGAATGATACAGTGCACAACATTAGTATAATATTTGCATCCAAGCTTAACATTATTTATGCTGGCTACTTCAACCCCTGAGATATCACTTGTCAGCAACACTACTTCAGTTTAACAATTGATGAAAATCTTCATCTCTATCTTTATTACTTGTAGACTTGACTACTTTACCAATGGGCCAGCCTCACATATTCCGTCTTAAGTAAACTTGAGGTCACCCGAAATGCAGTTGCCAATCTTGTATCTTACATCAAGTCTTTTTCAATGATCACCCCTTTGCTCACAGGCCTTCCATTGAATCTACTAAGCAGCAATACAATCTTAAAATTCTGGTAATTTTTTTTGAGTCCCTACATCATCCGTCACTCCCAACCCACCCATAATCCATGATACTTCCTGCTCATTATATGTCCCTCTTCTTACATTTAAGGGTTCAGATTTTAATGTTCTACCATTGCTGTCTTTGCCTTCAGTTACCAAGGCTTAAAACTTTGGAATTGCCTCCTGAAAGCTATCTCCCTCATTTTCTCCTGAAGAATCTCTTTAAAACCAACTTCTTAGACCAAGTTTGTGGTCACCTTCCCTGATCACTTTGCAGTTAATCAGGGAGAGTCAGCGTAGATTCATAAAGGGTAGGTCAATCCTGATAAACCTCTTAAAGTTTTTTGAAGATGTGACACAGGTGGTGGACTGAAGTAAGTCAATGGATGTTGTTGATGTGGACTTCCAGAAAACCTTTTTAAAATCACACAAAAGAGACTATTAGCTATGGTGGAAGTCCACAGAACTGAGGGAAAATTATTGACATGAATAGGAAAATAGTTGACAGGTAGGAAACAGAGAGTTGGAATAATGGGTAAGCACTCAAATCGGCAAGACACGACTACTGGTGTCCCACAAGGATCTGTGTTGGGGCCTCAATTCGTTAATGACTTGGAAAATGGCATAAAAAGTCAATCATCCAAATTTGCTGATGACACAAAATCGGGTTGCGTTGTAGACAATGTTGCTGACAGCATAAAATTACAACAGGATGTTGATAGATTGGGTAAATGTGCAAAGCCGTGGCAGATGAATTTTAATATAAGCAAGTGTGACATCATCCACTACAGATCAAAAAAGTTTAAATCAGGGTATCTTTTTTTAGAAAGCACAACGTTAAATACAGAGGATGACCGACAAGATTTGGGTGTTCAGATACATAGCTCTTTACAATACCATGAAGGAAGGCAGAAAATAGTTAAAAGACCGAATGGAATGCCGGCCTTCCTATCTAAAGTGTTGGAGTATAAGGATGCAGGCATTATGCTGAAGTTATATAAAATGTAAGTTAGACCCCACTAAAAGTACAGCAGATCTAGGTACCATATCTTAAGAAGGATGTTTTGGCCTTGGAGGGTGTTCAACACAGGTTTACAAGTTTTACCAGAGCCTTACAGGCTTCAGGGGTTACATTACGAGGAGAGTTAAGTGGACTTCAGTGGTTAAGTTATGAGGAAAGAGTTTTTAAAAAAATCAGGCCTTTATTCTCTAGAATTAGAAGGTTAAGAGGTGGTCTAATTGACATCTTCAGGATATGAACAGGGAAAGTCAGGATAGATAAAAAATAAACCATTTCCACTGGTTGAAGATTCTAGAAAAAAGGGGGATAGTCTAAGAATTAGGGCCAGGCCATTCAGGAGAGATGTTAGAAAGTACTTCTGCATACAATGAATAGTGGAGGTTTTGAGCTTTCTTCCTCAAATGGTGGTCAATGTTAATTCAATTGTTAAAGTTAAATTGGAGGTAGATAAATTTTTATTAAGTAAAGGTATCAAGGGATGGAGGCCCAAGGTATAGCAGTTAGGCCAGTTATTTGTGATTGTTATTGTTCAAGAAATGAGAGCATTGTCAGAACATTGCATAGAGCTTTGTATATTCCAATTGCTTGATTTATTGAAAATAGGATCCATGAAACAAAAAGAATGGTTGCTTAAGGCTCCCTCAGCAACATAGAAAAGATCCTGATGTAAAGTAGTAGTATGAATTAGTTTCAAACCATAAGACTACAAACTATAGCAGCAGAATTAGGCCATTCAACCCATCGAGTTTGCTCTGCCATTCAATCATGACTGATATGTTAAAAACCAAAAGAACTGCAGATGCTGTAAATCAGGAACAAAAACAAAGTTGCTGGAAAAGCTCAGCAGGTCTGGCAGCATCTGTGAAGGAGAAAACAGAGTTAACGTTTCAGGTCTGGTGACCCTTCCTCAGAACTGATGGTGGCTGGGAAAATGTCAGTTTATATGCAGAAAATAGGGAGGTGGGTGGGGTAGGGAGTAAACGATAAGATAGAGCCCAAAGAGAGAGAAAGACAGTTGGACAGACAAAGGAGTTGCTAACGATCAGGCTGGGAGGGTGAATAGTTGTTAATGGGCACTGT